TATTGGAAGGGTGTGGGGAAGGGAAGTGGGTGTGGCTGTGGAGGCTAATATCACCTACTCTAATAGGCAGTCAGTAGATTGAGAAGCCAGTGTGTTTAATGTAGGCTATCTCCTAGCGGGATCGGCATTAACGGACTGGAAGATCTCCGAGAAGATTATCCAGCTTTCCTTCCTCCCCATCATGTGTCATGAGCAGTCCTGCTCTGTCTAAGGCGTCTCATTAGCCTGCGGTGTGCACCCACAACAGTCCCCTCAGAAAAATACAGTAGCTTGAAAGGCACAGTCTATGAGAAACAGTCTTCTCCAGCTCTTCCTTTTTGAAAGAATTTTGTTTTTTGTTATTGCTGGATGGCAAACCAATTACATCTGATTATATATCCAAATGCAGACTCAACTCCTTGCGTTTTAAAAACACATTTCATATGTAGGCAAAAGAGCTCTTGTAAAGGTGTAGGCTGCAATTTGATTTTTTTTTTTTTTTTTTTTTTTTTTTTTTTTTTTTTTTTTTTTTTTTTTTTTGAGGCAGTTTTGCTTTGTTGCCCAGGCTGGAGTGCAATGGCATGATGTCGGCTCACTACAAGCTCTGCCTCTGGGGTGCAAGCAATTCTCATGCCTCAGCCTCCCACGTAGCTGGGACTACAGGTGTGCACCACCAATCCTGGCTAATTTTTGTATTTTAGTAGAGACCGGGTTTCACCATGTTGGCCAGGCTGGTCTTGAATGCCTGAGCTCAAGTGATCTGCCCACCTCGGCCTCCCAAAACGCTGGGATTACAGGCATGAGCCGCCCTGCCTGGCCTGCAATTTGATTTTCACAAATAATCTTTGCTTTTACTTCTCTTGTTTTCTGGGCGTGTACCATTTCACCCTCTTGTTGGGGACGATGTCGCGCCAACCCGTTGAGAGCCTGCCGCAGAGATCAAGGAGAGGCAGCCTGTTAGGAACACTCAGCAACTCTCGCCTTCCGTTTTCTTCTCCAGCCTCTGGCTGCTGCAGGGGTCGTATGTGCACTCTGCTTCTGCATCCATTTCTTCCAGGCCCCATCTCCTTCCATACCTTAGTCCGCTCTCACATTGCTATGAAGAAATACCGGAGACTGGGTAATTTACAAAGAAAAGAAGTTTAATTGGCTCATGGTTCCACAGGCTGTACAGGAAACACGATGCCGGTGGACCTCGGGAAATTTATAAGCATGGCAAAAGGGGAAGCAGGCGCACCTTACGTGGCTGAAGCAGGAGGAAGAGGGGTGCAGGGAGGTGCTACACACTTTTAAACAACCAGATCTTGGCTGGGTGTGGTGGCTCATACCTGTAATCTCAGCACTTTGGGAGGCCGAGGTGGGTGGTCAGGAGATCGAGACCATCCTGGCTAACATGGTGAAACCCTGTCTCTACTATAAAAAAAAAATAAAATTAGCTGGGTGTGGTGGCATGTACCTGTAGTCCCAGCTACTCAGGAGGCTGAGGCAGGAGAATTGCTTGAACCTGGGGGGCAGAGGTTGCAGAGAGCCGAGATCACGCCACTGCACTCCAGCCTGGGCCACAGAAAGAGACTGAAAAAAAAAAAAAAAAAAAACAAAAAAAAAAACAGATCTCATGAGAACTCTACCACAAGAACAGCACTGGGGGGATGGTGCTAACCCATTAGAAACCACTCCCATGAGCCAATCACCTCCCACCAATGCCCACCTCCAGCACTGGGGATTACAATTCAACATGAGATTTGGGTGGGGACACAGATCCAAACTATCTCCTTTCAGTTTCTCAGTCTAGTTCTGTGAATTGTGTAGCACGGTATAAGTAACAGCTGTCTAAAAATTAAGGAGCTACTCTTCACCTGGTGCTAGAACATTCTTTTCATTGGTGAGGTCTGGTTAAGCTCTACTTTTCACTGGCATGTGTTCTTGCTTATTTATTCTAAAACAATTGCGAAAACTAATATGTGTAGGGCACTTACTATCCTATCTCGTGGCGGGTTCTGTGCTAAGCGCTGTATATCTGTGATCACAGTTTAACTTTTGTAACAAGCCAAATGAGCAGGAACTCTTATTATCTCTAGCTTACAGAAGAAGAATCCAAAGACCAGGAACAGTAAGCAGTTTGCTCACCTGGTTTGCCAGCCTCCATAACACATCGCCGTCCAGTTCTGCCTTTAATTACCAAAGTGTAGACTAGCACGCTACTTTGATTCTCCTCTCCTCGGCCAGGAGAATTCAATAGTGAAGTTAAACAACAAAGGCTGCGTTAGACGATTGGTCTCAGTTCCCTGTTTCCACCAGCAGGTGGCACCGTCTCCCAGCGGAATGCTTACTTGAACGTTTTGCTTCCGTTCCTGCAGAGGCAGGCGCTCAGTGGCACCATCAGAGCGTTCCTTCTGGCCGGATTTGCCTATCTTGTTCTGTGAGGGCCACTCATGAGGACAAATGGTGTTAATGAGAAGCTGATGTGGAGTTACAGAGATCCTTAAATTTCTTTGAAATACACCTAATAACACTAACTCTGCAATAATTTGTAGATCATTTTCAATCTTAGCCATCTTCTCTTGCCACCCAGTGTGCTTCAAGCCACATGGTTCAGAGCACCATTTAATGTGAAACTCCAATTTTAAAACAAGGTGAACCTTCGTTTTACAAAACCATTAGGTAAGTCACAGAGTAATGACCACCCACATGACCTTGAAGAGATTTTGATTGAGTGAGTGTAATCTCCGTGGCTGCCATTTAAATTGGATTCAAATCCAGATGGCTCCACTCCTATGTCATCTGACCTCTTGTGCCCCGATTCCCCTGGCTAAGTTCATAATACCTTCTACATGGATATGGGGTACTGGGGTTGTGGCAACGATTACCTGAGGCTAATACAGTAAAAGCACACGGTAAGCACTCCTCAATGATAGCCAATATAAAGACCCAATCCTCCCAATTCTAAGGGTCCCCACCATGATAGAAAAGGATCTTTTGGTAAACAGAGGTTGTTTAGCTCTTGCTAGGTCTTTAAATACTTGCTGGGGTCCAGGCACGGTGGCTCACCCCTGTAATCCCAGCGCTTTAGGAGGCTGAGGCTGGAGGATCCTCTGTGGCCAACAGTTTGAGACCAGCCTGGGCAACAGAGCAAGACCCTATTTCTACAAAAAATAAAAATTAGCCAGGCGTAGTGGTAAACACCTGTAGTCCCATTACTTGGGAGGCTGAGGCAGGAGGATCTCTCAAGCCCAAGAGTTCACAGCTGTAGTGAGCTACGATTGTGCCCTGCACTCCAGCCTGGGTGACAGAGTAAGACTGTTTCAAAACAACAACAACCAATAACAAAAGCTGAAACCTCGAAACCCCTTTGTTGGACTTACTTCCGTCTCCATGTAGTACCTTAGTATACTTGCAGCCAGCTTCCCTTTTACAAGACAACAATGTTATTATAAAGTCATTTGAAAATGGTCCCATGGAGGAGTATTTACACAACATTTAGCTTATGGGCAGGTCTTCGGAACACGGCACTTACCTGGAATTATGCTGACCGCCTCAACCCATACCAACCACCCAGAGATGGCTGTTCTCTGTTCCTCTTCCTCCCCCTCCCCCTCCTCCTCCTCTTCCTCCTCCTCCTTCTTCTGGTTTGAGAGAGTCTCACTCTGTCACTTAGGCTGCAATGCAGTGGTGTGATCTCGGCTCACTGCAACCTCTGCCTTCTGAGTTCAAGTGATTCTCCTACCTTAGCCTCCAGAGTAGCAGGGACTACAGGTGCTTCCACACACCCAGCTAATTTTTGCATTAAGTAGAGATAGGGTTTCACCATGTTGGCCAGGCTGGTCTCGAACTCCTGCCCTCAGGTGATTCACCCACCTCAGCCTCCTAAAGTGCTGGGGTTACAGGTATGAGCCACCGCACCCGACCCTTCTCATGTGTTCTGGCAGGGAATGCTGTTGTCCCCCAAACCTACCCTAAGAGGAAGATTTCCTCTGGGGAGAGATGCTCACTGTGCCCAGGCCCTGCCCTGACTGGAGCTGGCAGAAAGGGTCCCAGAAGGAGAACTTGTGCCACTCTGCCCAAAGCCAGAGTCCCGAGGCACACACCCCATCAGGCACCAAGGTTAATTCCAACTGCCAGTTAGTATTTAACTTTCCATATACGATTAGATTAAACATGAGGGTTCATAAAAGCCTAGGATTGCAGACTGCAGTTGCAAGGGCTTAGATGGTCGTAAGCTGAAGGTGCCCAGCTGGCTGAGGCTTATGTGCAACCCAGAAGGGAGCTCGCTAAGGCCAGCAAGAAGGTTCAGAACGGCCCAGCTTTGGAAAGGAATTTCATCTTGCCCACACGCTGCATAGGTAAGTCTTAGTACACATTCTTTATTTTTTGAGAAATTAAGTAACAAACTTATCTTTTCCAGAAAATGATCAAAAGAATGGTTTTCCTGGTATATGGCCTGGCTCCCTCATCCACTCTTCCTTCTTTCCTGCTTGTGTTTTCCTTACTTCTTTGTTAGTTGACTTAGCATGAAAATTTTGAGTTTTTTAAATGGGGGATTCATGGTAAATGTAGGTAATCATATTGCTTTCTCTTCTTGATATAAAAATGAAAGACTTTGCTGCCTTTTGTAGGCCCAGGTGATGCGAGTGATCGACCATCTTTCAAGAAAAGAAAACTTTGGACTTTGGGGTCAAATGGACGTTACTTTCCTAATAGTGTCCTGATTGCCCTTGTCATGAATAACACACATTCGTGACAGGAATGGCTGGAATTAGGGGATCATTCTGTAGCCTGGAGACAGGGCACAACTAATGACACGTGTAAGCTCAAACCGTGGTCTCCGTCTTGTGTCCTGTACCCAGTTGAGCCGACCGGTCACAGCAATGGAAACGGAGAGTTACTGGAATGTGTGACCTCTGCTAGGATAGTCAGTGCTGGACACTGGCTTGGGTGACATGGGTTCTAGGCCAGGCACTGTGGCCAACTTGAGAGCCCCGTGATCTTGAACAGGTGACTTAAGCTCTCCGGGCTGTAGTTATTCCACCTATCAGAGAGCAGGCCAGCCTAAATCATCTTCTGGGGCCCACCTGTGCCAGGACTCAGCAAGAACCATTCACTGGAAATGTAGCTCCTGCTAGGTTGAAACACATGAACTGACCATATTTGACCATTTCTGACCTATATAAATGGCTATTTCATATGAGTCCAAATAACAGTTGTCTTAGTATTACTAAAGTAAATGCCTCTTATGATATTCTACTTAGGGGTAGGATAAGTATGTATACCAAATATGGTTTGTTTTGTTTTGATTTTTCAGATAGGGTGTCACTCTGTCATCCACACTGAGTGCAGTGCTGTGATCATGGCTCACTGCAGCTCTGTCCTCCCAGGCTCAAGTGATCCTCTCAAGTAGCTGGGACTATAGTGGGCCACCACATCCAGCTAATTTTTTATTTTTTGTAGAGGTGGTGTCTCACTATGTTGTCCAGGCTGATCTCGAACTCCTGGATTCAAGCAATCCTCCTGCCTCAGCCTCCCGAAGTGCTGGGATTACAGGCAAGAACCACTGTGCCTGGCCTCCAAATATGGTTGATGCCTATCAGTTAAATAGTAATTCTGGGAATAAAAAATTGAAGTCAATTCACTGATAATTTGAATGTCTTAGCATAAAGTCCTTCAATGAAACTGCTTTCACACACTGTGACTTGGTGTTTTCCCGTGGTCAGGGAGCAGGCGTGGACCGCTCAGCCACAGCTCATGCATCCACATTCAAAAAATGATTCCCTTTTGGATCCTATTTATTTGGCCTGCAGGGGTCGGCACTTAGGTATGTAATCCCATAGGCCCTTTCCATCCCTGTGATTAAGTCTTATCAAAAAGCACATCTTGACCTGCTTAGCAGTCGCGCCTTTGTTCACATTAGAAGGGTTGAACAAATAATGGGCAGTTGGGGCCACTTAGCTCGAAAAGGCTGGTGAATGCTGCCATGCCTGCACCTGGAAATCAACCCTGTGACTCCAGGGGAATTCAGCACCGAAGACCCTCATCTCAAAGACCTTTTGTGGCAGAGATTCTTGGATGGGCCTTAGGGGGCCCAGGAGTCCCCTGAAATTGAATGTAGAGCTTCCTATGTGCATATGTATACTTTCTTGGGGAAAAATAAAGTCACATCACTTTATTTTACTTTTCAGGGATCTGTGACACTGCCCCCCACCCAACCCCGCACCCCTTAAAAATAAATTATGAACCACTCACTGTCCTGGTAGTTTCCAATTGAATTCCACAGAGAGAGGAATTCACCAAATCTTTAGTAAAGATTTGCTATGTGCCCATTGCTGTGTAGGGTCCTGGGATTCAGAGATGATAAAGCAATCCCTGCTTCCAGGGGTTCAAGCTCTCCTGTCATTGGGTCTCCAGTTACTTAATCTCACTAAACATGGTGAAGGTAGGAGTTTATAGAGTGGTTTTGAGGGTCACATGAATAAGCACGTAATATACGGGCAATTGAAAAACTAAACCAACATGGTCATTTGCAGAAGGAGCACAGAAAAAGGATCTCTGCCTAGACCGGGGGAGGTCAGGGAAAGTCCTGCGGATTGGTGACAACTGGCCAGGGTTCCTGCAAGAGAAAAAGAACTATATCTACAGAGCCAGAGCCTGTCTCTTAATTTTAAAAAAAGGCCTGGCACAGTGGCTCACACCTGCAATCCCAGCACCTTGGGAGGCTGAGGCAGGGGGATCACTTGAGCCTAAGAGTTTGATAACATAGTGAGACCTCATCACTACTTTTTTTATTAGGAAAAAAAGTTAATTAAAAATAAAAGGGCGAGAGAGCTAGTGGCAAAGTACCAGTTCAGCTAACTTTTACAGCATACTGTATCATTTCCAAGGGGAAAAACTCATCTCTGTTACATTGCTTAGGAAGTGTGCTTGGTATACACCTTGAGGGAATCTTATCTATTTGTTTAGTTTCCTTCCAACCCACCTGTGTGGCCAGGAGAGGGAGAGAACGATCTTAGAGCTCTCTAAGTAACAGAACTTAAAATATCAGACGGAGAAGAATATATTACCTTGGTGATGGTAATTCTCAGTGAGGAAAATCCTGGGGAGGTATGATCTGTGGGAGAATTGCCTGCAAGTTTGTTTAATAGGTTTATTTATTCGGTTTATTGAAGTTCCTTTCCCAGACAGAAGATCTGAAACTTCTCTTTTTGCGAAGGAAAGAAAAGTCTTGTGCTAAAGAGACGGGAATGTCTTTAGAACAGCAGCAGGCAAACCCACGCTGGGTTGCTGGGGCTTTTACTAATTGCTAGTCACGGTTTACCGCCTGTCTGTGCTCCTTCCACCCATCTAGGAACCGTGCTCAGCTCCATTTTCTGAGCTCCCTTATCTTTGTATCCATACCTGCTACAACTCTTTGCGCATTGCATTGCATTGGTTTGGTTTCTCCCATTTAGCCGAGCCTCTCATAGAGTTCCTGCCATCTCTGCAGTTTCATCGCCTAGCATAGTACCTGGCACTATGAATTAACATGAATCAAATGTCCACTGAGTGCCTTCTATGTGTCAGACATCTGCTATAGCGAGCTAGACAAAGTTGGCAGACATGACAGCCGAGTGGAAAAGATGAGACCCTAAACCACCTCAACCAATCATCAAACAATAAACACACACACACACACTATATGTTATATACATGTATGTATAAAAAAATCTTTTGCCTTGCAATCATTCACTTGATGTTATGTCTAAAGCCCCACAATTCTCTAAAAACAGAGATGTATAAAAAAGCGCACCTATATAATTCTCTAAAAACAGAGAATATAAATGAGCCATTTATATTTCATTTGACTGACATTTGTTGAGTGCTTGTTATAAATATGGCATTATTCTAGCTGGCGTGAGGTTGCCAATTTTTTTTTAAAAAAACAAAAGTAATATAAATATATGCGCACACATTTAGTTACTGCATATATGAAGCATGCTTTTGAAGCATAAGGTGCTGTTGGAGAAAAATGGTGGTGGTGTTGGGAAATGATTTAGAGAAGAGCCAGGGAAGTCTTCTCAGAAGTGACAAGGAGGCCGGAACCTAAAGAATGAGGAGGTGGAAGGTGGTAGAGAAAGGCAAAGCTATTCTGGGTTGAGAGAACAGAATGTGCTGATGTCCTGAAGCAAGAGAGCTTACGACAGGGCGAGAAGATGTCAGGTGTGACCGAGCTGTCCTGAGCAAAAGGTAACTGAAGAGGTGGTCAGGGGCCTGCTCAGCCAACAGGGTAAATACTGTTAAAGAATTAGGACTTGATTTTAAGAACAACTAACCATCATTTCAGAAGCAAACAAATAGCACTATAATTTCCCCTTTCAAAAGGGCGCATTGGCCGGGCACGGTGGCTCACGCCTCTCATCCCAGCACTTTGGGAGGCTAAGGCGGGTGGATCACCTGAGGTCAGGAATTTGAGACCAGCCTGGCCAATATGGTGAAATGCCATCTCTACTAAAAATAAAAAAAAATGAGCCGGGCGTGGTGGCACATGCCTGTAATCCCTGCTTGAACCCGGGAGGCGGACGTGGCAGTGAGCAGAGATTGTGCCACTGCACTCCATCCTGGGTGACAGAGCGAGATTGTCTCAAAAAAAAAAACCAACAAAAACAGTGGGGCACATTGATGGCTATTCAAGGCAGAGAGGGGCACATACAACCCCCAAGAGATGGCCCTGGGGAGGGCTATGTTGTATTATGTTGTTGAGATTGTATTATCCAGGTGAGAGATGCTGGCAGCTGGGCAGTGCCAGTGGGGATGAAAATGTGAGATGGATTTGAGAAATAGGAATAATCTCTCAGATTATTTCTTGGCGTCACTTACTTAAAACGTTTCTTTCAAATGTGGATGTACACATCCCTCCCTTTAGGATACCTGGGACAATGTGTCACCTAGACATAGGGGATGGAACAAATTGGACAGTCTGTCAATGCCCCTTGCCATCTTTTCCCTTGATGTTATGTCAAATGCCCCACAATTCTCTTAAAACAGAGAACATAAATGAGTCATTGCTTCATTCAACTGAAGTTTGTTGAGTGCTTGTTATGAATGTGGCATCATTCTAGCTCTTGTGAGGGTATTCATTTTTTAAAAAAACAAAAGTAATGCAAGATTACTGATGAAAATGTGGAATATGAGAAAAGCATAAACAAGGAAAGATGTATCTTTTTTTTTTTTTTTTTT